AGGGACATTGCAAAACTGTCTTTTGCTCCGCCTCCAAGGGTTTGCACACCCCCAACTTTACTTATTGTTAAATACTTTTATATATTAAATACTTTTGTTGTTCGGTATAATTTTGTACGTTACGTGCTCTTCTGTATCTTTGCAAAATATTCAATCGCTTCGATCATTTTCTATTCCTCAAACAAGTTCGATAGACAAATCACCAACAAATTACGATCACCAATTAGATGTTCCTCTACCATTTTCAACAATGGTAACCAATTCCCACGACTCGCACGACACCCGGGTCATCATCGAGGGCCACGAAAACGCTGGCTACTCGTGGGATCATTCACCCTACCAACGTCACTAGCTTCCCACGGTTCTGGGACCGTGAATGGCACGAGGGAAGCTTATAAAAGGGATCGAAAGACTACAGTCTCATCCAGTTGCTTGCCAGCAACCATATCGTTGCTGTACCTTCGGCACTTTCTTCTCGAGTCGTGTATTTGAACGTTGCAAGGCGAAACTGAATTGTGTGTTACTTTTCTTTGGTTCAAATTTACCTGTTCTGGTTGTTAATAAAAAAGAAGAATGGTCGAGAAATGGTCGTTTGATTTGTTACTGTAGCTCACTGGTAGAGTAATTTTCTTGTTTACAACTGACGTGTACTATTATTTTTTAATTTATATAAATGTGTATAAAATACACAAGTGGCTTACAAATTACAAATGATAAAATAATTTACATAAAGTTACACATAATGAAGAAAGCTGTGACTTTCCCTCTGTTCAGATATTGTAGTGTTATTTAGTAATAACGCATGAAAGTACAACTTTCATGGTGACGTTTTATTATTTCACGTATTGGCGTCTATTTGCTGGCATATTTTCCTCAAGCAACGTGTATTCTTAAATTCAAATCACTATCAAACATGCTAGTTCATAGGAAAATTCAGAGATTATAGCAGGGTCAGGCTTGGGCATTTTTCTACATGGAATATTTGAAAAATGATTATTTTAACGATATATCATCTTATTTGAGCAAATATTATTTTGAAATAGTTGGTAACTAATTAAATAATTTGGCTATATTGTTTACAATCAAACATACCAAAAACTCATGTTAATATTCAACTCAAATTAATTATATGTTATTTTATTTCCAAATAGTTAACTAAAATAGAAAATTATTTGACAATTTATCTGTTCTTAACCCAAGATAAAGTTACTTTTCCCCATATTATTTTGAAAGCAAGAAGAGCAGCAAAGTACTCGAAGACAATTCATCATTTCAAATTATCATTTTTTAATCTTCGTTTCAAATAAAATTTGCCCAAGTCTGAACAAGGCTAAGCATCGAATCCGCGCGAGGAAACTGTGACGATTCAACGAGTACGTAAATATTTTTCATATTTGATTGTGATTCCTTTGACGAAGAGTGGCGTCTAACGAAACCTGAAGAAAGAGTGGTAGTTACTTACCGGATGGATGATTGGACTGTAAATTGTAATCGTCGACCTGCAGCGTGCTGTTCGGCCCTGTTCTAGTGAATCTCACCACGTGATACTGATTGTCATTCACTTTCACACCGACCTCACCGATCGGATGATCGTTCGTCCCCATATTGTAAACAGCGAACACGTTTCCTTCCACCTGGAAAGTAACGAAAAATATAATTAACAATTGCTTCAAACATCTCTAAAAAATCTGTGAACGCTTATGTCAATGATATATATGAAATTCGAGAGTTACAGCGATTTTGTTGTCCGTATCTGTACAGAAGCTCGTGGACAAATTGGTGGAACGACGTGGACAATGATTTTGCGAAATTCTATGTGCGAGCAAACGTTTTATGTTCGTTGATTACGTCAGTTGCGCTTAAAACATGATTAATTTCCATTCTACGTATTCATTTGGTCGATAGTAGAGACAATCGTGTCTTTGATGGTAATAATTTTGTTTCTAATTGTATATTTTCTAAATGAAGAATATTAGTATCAAATAAGAGTAGATTTTTACATGGAATATCGAGGTTTCTTGATAGAATTTCTATCAAATATGTATTTCGACATTTTTAGTAATCTATTTCTTGTTTTTCATTTGGTAATCGTATCGATGATTTTAATGAGAATTGAAGTATGAAAGCGTTTTAAGTTATCCTTATACGTCACTTGTTTAAATATTTTTTGTCTAGATTGTCCAGATTTACAGGCTTCGTATGCTTCATAAGATCAAACTTTTACTCTCTTCCTTTCTTTTCTTCCATTTAGTTGCTTCAGATTAGTTTAAATACAGACTTAATCGATTAATCAATGTTTGACAAATATCATTTGCGTTATTTTTCCAGAAATTACGTAATACCATTAAATTGTGTAATGAATTAATTAAATAAGTAATAAACATATTCACTTAGATTAAAATTAACATAATTAACGTCTTTAGACATATTTCCACATGTTTCCCTGTTTTAAACGTATCTCGTAAAATAAACTGCTATTTAACATATATTCTAACTATAATTAAACTATAATTTGCCTGTCATCGCCACTTAATATTCAAATCTTATTACCTGCATCTAAAAATGTCATTTGCGTTTTTCTTTCTAGTAATAATCAGCATGAAATATTGTCGCACATAAAATTACGTACGTAATACGCAAATTCTATTTAAATTTAAATATATTACAGCATTATATTATATATCATGTAACATATGAGAGAATTTGGGATTTCACAGGTACATTCTTACACCTATCGTAATCAGTTAATTAACAAGTAATACTTATACGATATACTCTACATGTGAAATTACAAATTCCTCCCTTTCTTGAAAATCGACGTAACGAAACTTCCAAATTATTCTATAATTATTAACAATTGAATGGTTTTACGGAACTGTGCGTGTGACCAAATTTTGTACTCTTTAAGCAGCTTATGAACTATAACCCAAATTAATCTGTAATTACTAATAATTTAATAGTTTTACAAAGTAGTACGTGTGAGCAAATTTTCTACTCTTTAAAGCAGCTTATGAACTATGATCCAAATTATCCTATAGCCATTAACAATGTAATGGTTTTCAGAAATATCATGTGTGACCAAATTTTGCATTGTTTAAGCGGCTTATGAACTACGACTCGAATTATTCTATCGTTACTAACAATTTCAATCTCGAGATAGTCGTTGCTGGAAGCAGATTCTATTCTGACGAGGACGGCGTCGCTCACGCTTGTTACAAAGCCCAAGGCCACCGTGTCTCTCTTCATTTCCGGCCTCTGATTCGGCGGGAACGTGTAGGTGATAATTCCTCTGCCGGCTCCGAATTCGTAAGCTGCTGCTTCTGTAACGACACAATTGCGCGCCATAAGCCCAGCAAATACAGAGTTAATAGAAAATGACTAAATATTAAACGCTAGAGCTAACCAATCATCGCTAAAATGTAAAGTCTGTGAGGAAGGAATCTCAATGACAGAGATCGTATTACGTGGAAAAATAATTTGCCAGAGGAGAAGCTAACTTTTTTACCAAAATTTTTACCAAAAACTCATTCCACTTTCCAGTGATACGCTATCGTACAATTATAACAGTTGTTTAGTATAGTACCTATCATTAATAATCATGCTATCGACACGAACTGGCTTGTCACTGGCAGAAATTAAAAGACAACGAATTGAACTGAATGAAAAGACACGAGGACTATCTTTTACAACTATCAAACAACGTATAGTATCCATATTTTCGATTCTTTTAACTCTATGTTTCCATGAATCTAATTAATGGCCAAAAATGTCCCATTTCGCACAGTTGCTGTTAGTCCACGACCTATTACCCTATCGTCCAATTTAATAAATTTATCAATAAGGTTTGTCTCGTGATTCTACTTAAATATATATTTCTTAACATTCATCGATCTCCAAAATTTTACATTAACTATACTTGCACGATCCCATGATATTATTCTAGGAGAAACATTTCATTCTACATTCATTCATTTTATATATACAGAAGCTGAATTTTCAACATGACGTTCTCTTCGACAAACAATGTTGATAACAATATTGCAAGAAATTTTTTTAAGTTGCTTATCTTTTTCTAAAATATCCAGGCCGTGAAGTATATATGTTTACAGTAATAGCGTTAACACCACTCAACGTAAGTGCTCTAGATTAGAATGATCAGATACGCCTCGTAAAACGAGGCAACTTATTTCGTCTCTTCACGCAGCCTCTAACGACAAATTTTTCCTACAAGAATTTTCTACCTTCGAATAACAAAACGCCGAAGAAAGAGGCTGCTAATCTACTTTACTCGTTTATCAAACTCCTTAGAAAATATACGCGTAATCGGATATTCTTAATACAAATTACTGTCGTTTTACTTAGGCTAAATATACTCGGGACGTACAAAATTTATATACATTGTTTTAATACATTTGCTTAATAAAATAGCGCGAGATGGTATTTTCTATGGAAAGAGCGCAGATGCAGCTCGTCTGCTGCGTGTCACAACGAAGATAGTTACATTGGGAAATATACTCTGTACAATTTCGATACGCATTATTATTATTATTATCTCGAAGACGCTTTTGATAAGAGAAAAGAAAAAAGGGAAAGAAGTAGAAGGCGAGGAAGATAGGAATCGTCGGATTAAGTTTCCCTAAACTTCAAGGAACGTGCTTATTGTGTAACTTATACAGAGTGAGTCGGTGGAAACTACTGGGATACTGTTATCAACGTTCGTCAATGATTTTATCAAAAAATATTTCAAGTGGAATATGTTGCATTTGATGGCCAAACGAGTACATTTTGATTTCTTAATATCTTACATCTTCTACGAAACTAAGATAACTTTGAGTTTCTTAATAGCCTTCATATTAGTACATGTAATATTTGTGTTACATTTGACATTCTCTAGAAAAAGATAATTTGTACCATAAAAAGCCATAAGTTTGGCAGATACTTAAACTCGAACTCGTCAGGTTTGATGTACGAAAGACGAAGATGATAAAAGCTTTATACAGCTCTGCTGCTTTATACATTAAACTCAACAAATTCGAGTTGAAACATCCACAAAAGTAATTGTTCTTTGGTGACAATATTATTATACATCATCAATGTTATCGTTACTATTTCTATTATTATATTCATTATCAATATATATATAATAATATTGTACAATGTATAAAACACAGAGATAATAAAAGCGTCTGTCCTTCTGCTCCATACAGTACATCAAACGCAACAAATTCGAGTTGAAACATCTACAAAAGTAATTGTTCTTTGGTAACAATATTATTATACATGATCAATGTTATTGTTACTATTTCTATTACTATATTCATTATCAATATATATATAATAATATTGTACAATGTATAAAACACAGAGATAATAAAAGCGTCTGTCCTTCTGCTCCATACAGTACATCAAACGCAACAAATTCAAGTTACAATATCTGCTGAGGTCCCATTATCTTGGAAATGGAACTTTACTTTACAAAATAAGTTGAAGTTTCGGTAACAATATTATTTTATATTTCGATCATTATATTCATTATTATATTACATTGTCAAGCAACGATAACAATACTGTTACCAAAATAATATTATTTTCCAACCGATAGTTTCCATCGACTCAGCAGACAGTTGGCAACTAAGTGAATGCGGATTTTGTCATTAGATGGTATTGGCAAAATCCGCAATCACTTAGTTGCCAAGAAGTGGGAAAGTATCTGAACGCTAGCTTCGTCCAGCGAGTCCTACGGCGATGTTTATCGCACGCTACGATGTCGAAGGTGGTATCGAAATTTTCCCGCCTCACAGAACACAGTCTGTTATTTGTCCGCCGTGTACATGAAATATTCATGTTTTTACCTTCGTTACACGTCGGCCCAGTAAAACTGGTCATGTCGCAGTCGCACGTGTAACTATTCCACTGTTGCACGCACGTGCCATGATTCGAGCAGAGATCGTGCGTGCACTTTTTGCCAGCGTGCATGCTGGCGTACATGTCGCAGCCAGATTCCACCAGAGAGCTGGGAACCACCGCGTCGGAGATCAGATTGGTACTCTCGCCGCTCAGGTCCAGCGACGACAGGCAGCCCTCGAAACCGTGTCTGCTGAGAATTTGCTTCGGTAGCTGGCCGTACTGCGACTTCTCCACGCCACCTGAAATTATGCGAACGTCGCGTTAGTTGGACGGAAGATCGCGGTTTCCTTGGACGCTCGGGCAAATCCATAGATCGTCAAATGGTTTGCACGATGGTCGAACGACATTGCAAAGAATCGTTTAAAGTAACCAGCAGTTCGACACTACAATGTCGTTTATCAATGATAGTTAGGTTTTCTTGTCTGTGAATCATCGTATCCTGTTGATACGGAGAAACAATTACCCGCAAGTGATAGAAACAAAGCGCTTGGACTTTGGAATGGTATAAAATGTGCGAAGATCGACGATAAATTAGAATTTCTTTTCAGCCAAGAAACGAATCTCAGTAGCTTGCATTTGCTTTTGCAAGGATCGCTTCTCTTTTGACTTTGTTCTCGCGATAAATAAATTAATTAATAGTAGTAGTGAATTAGTAATAAAGGAAGCATAATGGTAAAAGTGTCATGATTTTATCAACTTTGTAGATGAGAATGTTTAGAAGAAGAAGAAGAAGAAGAAGAAGGTGAAATATTTAGGAAATGTTGAGATTAGGGTGGAAGCTCAGATTAGGGTCGAGATCACGAGTTGATATGATTTGATTATTGTATCAATCATATGTATGAATTAATTATGCGTATAATATAAATATAACGCGTGTCCTATAAATCGCTAGTACGGAACACGTGCTGCCTGTGGTTTCCAAATGTACTTGGAGATCCCAGCTGGAAGTTGCAAATATTTTTTAACGCTCCTATCAAACATTTGCGTCTTTTACGTAGCGTTCGTAACAAAATTCTAACTCTGGTAAGTTGCGTAAATACATTGCAAGGAAGCGATTAGCGCAATCTCGAATTCGTGACCGTTGTCAGTGGTTTGAAAATCGTTTATCAGCGACTGCTTCGCGTAAATCGGATATAACGTGTCCGAGAATCTGCTATAAATTGAAATTTGTATAGACAGAACTGAACAGTTACTTGTGGTCTGCCATCGAAGATCAGTTAGTTTCGAGCAACGTTCAACGTTTTGTCATTGACACTTCTCAGGTACGGTTCCAGTCATTATGACACTGCGCGACTTAAAAATGAATCAGATTACTTGAACGAATTGCATTGTGAAAGAGAAAACCTAACGTACAGATACAAAGAATATCTATCGGTTGATAATCGAATCATTACGATATTTTCACTCATTTTCCGAATATAAATTAGACCGAGTTAAATCATCTTGCCTAGTGAACAGATAGAAGAACTTTGTACAGTTCTCAATTTATGTGCTCGTTTAACAAACCTGCAATTTTCAAAAATAGCATCTTATTCTTCTTAGAAGTAAATGGTATTATGTTTAAGATTGATCTGTCTTTCTTAGTTCTCAATTTTATGAATATGCCAGCTTTTCAGACAGTGTAATTATCAATTCGAACATAGATGTTTTCAACCCCATTTTTACCTAATTCGCTATTTTATCTCGTCAGATGTTTTTCCATACTTTTTCTCGATCCTGCTAAGAGACAATTAATAGAATTTGCGATTACAACCAACAGGTGCGTGAATTTCCGGAAAGTACGATGAAGAACTGGCTGATAAGTGGAAGGCGCGCGATCAGTCTTCTCTGCATCTTCCTTCTCGTGCAGTCGTTCTTGGTTACTTGGTCGAATTGTGAACCCGAAACGAACTCTGCGATGTCACGGATGGCTGTAACCCCTGCAGTGGAATATAGAATTTCACCGAGATGTCACATCGGTATCTATGGTCGCAAGTTTTTACCCAAATGGTGCAAAATAATCTACTAATGTTCAGACTCTTAAAATTTATAAATCACACGCATATCTTTGTTCCTGTTCCTCCTCTTTTTGATCATCGACTTTCGCTTTGAATCTTGAGGAGCACTGACGTTGCAAGATTCAAAGGACGTCGATTGCTAATTGATCGATTATTAGCTCACTGATTTTCTGTATTCAGAATCCTGTTCCTTGTCAATCGAATTACAAAGAATGCAATAAACGAGATAACGTAAACATTGAATTCCTTTCGATTTAGTTATAAACTCCACTTACAATATTTTTACAACTACACAAATTCAGTCTCCTCACTGACTTACAGATGAATGTGCTTGGAATATACGATATATCAAAAGCAACAAATATTTTTACACAATCGACCTTAGGTTCCAACTATATCGAAATATAAGACACAGAGTATGTGGAACGAGTTACAATTATGCTAAGCCACGCAAACGTATCCATGACAGACCGAGAAGAATTTCAATATTTGAGTATGGAATTTACTTCTTTTTACCATTTTGCTACCAGAAAGTCTGCTTAAGATCATATGACAATTTTTGCAACCAACCGAAATCCGTGGAAGTTTCGTCAATTCCCTTTGTAGGATTAAACAAACTATCATCATAGTTAATCGTCTTTTCTCGCTTCAGAGAAACGTAACGCGAGTAGATCTACGTGGAGCAGATGCGCAATGAAAGCGAAGGTACAGAGTGTTCGGAAGCTTCAGTGAGCGAAAATGAAAAGAATTTTTCAATCACGAAATATACGAAGATTTTCAATTAAACGATCGTCCAGAATGCGAGATGAATTTTCTGCATTTGACAACGCTGTCGATGTAAACACGCACAATATTTGTCCAATATTTTAAGACTTTGCCACTTGGAGGAAACGCGACATATTGCGTGAATATACAGCGGCTCGCATTAACATTAGGATACTCTGTGAAATAGAATCAATTTCTGAATGTAAGATCAAACGATCTGAGTTTCTTTGAGAAGCTACAGTTAGTCGACTGGACGACGTTGAAAGAAGTTTCGAAAAAATCGCGAAAAAAATGGCGAAGGTCGCTTTTCACGTCTATTTTATCTGACTCCGTAATGAAAATTTTAACAGTACGTTCTGTGCATTTATATCTGCTATATACACGCTAAAGATTTAATCGAAATCGTTCGATGCGGAAGCGGGCAATCGTCGAAAGATACAAAAATCTTTCAGACTTGTCACAGGGAAAGGCGGAAAGCGGCGAGAAGCTGCGATTCGCACAATTTTTCACCTTTTGTAGCTCGCAGCAACGTTAATGCGAAAATTATTTTGCATTAAAGAGTGTTCGAATATTAATATGAGCCGCTGCTTGTCGCAAGCAAACGATCAAGGTAATCGCGAATTTACGACTCTGATTCGAATTGAAAAATTGTTTACGAGCGATTGTTCCGCGTAGCTGGGATATAACGCGTTGCAAAACCATCTATAAATAGGAATTCGCCTAGGTTCAATCAAACATGTACAGAGCGTTCGGAAGCTTCAGTGAGCGAAAATGAAAAGAATTTTTCAGTCACGAAATATACGAAGATTTTCAATTAAACGATCGTCCAGAATGCGAGATGAATTTTCTGCATTTGACAACGCTGTATTAAACAAACTATCATCATAGTTAATCGTCTTTTCTCGCTTCAGAGAAACGTAACGCGAGTAGATCTACGTGGAGCAGATGCGCAATGAAAGCGAATGTACAGAGCGTTCGGAAGCTTCAGTGAGCGAAAATGAAAAGAATTTTTCAGTCACGAAATATACGAAGATTTTCAATTAAACGATCGTCCAGAATGCGAGATGAATTTTCTGCATTTGACAACGCTGTCGATGTAAACACGCACAATATTTGTCCAATATTTTAAGACTTTGCCACTTGGAGGAAACGCGACATATTGCGTGAATATACAGCGGCTCGCATTAACGTTAGGATACTCTGTGAAATAGAATCAATTTCTGAATGTAAGATCAAACGATCTGAGTTTCTTTGAGAAGCTACAGTTAGTCGACTGGACGACGTTGAAAGAAGTTTCGAAAAAATCGCGAAAAAAATGGCGAAGGTCGCTTTTCACGTCTATTTTATCTGACTCCGTAATGAAAATTTTAACAGTACGTTCTGTGCATTTATATCTGCTATATACACGCTAAAGATTTAATCGAAATCGTTCGATGCGGAAGCGGGCAATCGTCGAAAGATACAAAAATCTTTCAGACTTGTCACAGGGAAAGGCGGAAAGCGGCGAGAAGCTGCGATTCGCACAATTTTTCACCTTTTGTAGCTCGCAGCAACGTTAATGCCAAAATTATTTTGCATTAAAGAGTGTTCGAATATTAATATGAGCCGCTGCTTGTCGCAAGCAAACGATCAAGGTAATCGCGAATTTACGACTCTGATTCGAATTGAAAAATTGTTTACGAGCGATTGTTCCGCGTAGCTGGGATATAACGCGTTGCAAAACCATCTATAAATAGGAATTCGCCTAGGTTCAATCAAACAGTTGCTTGGAGCCTCAGAGAATCCTCAACTCTCAAGCATCGGTAGGTATACGCTTAAACTTTAATTTCTCGTTACATTACACGCGTTAGAAATGAATCAGATTATCACAGTCTCGATTATTTTCCTGTCCAAAAATTGCATATGAAAGCTTCGCTTCTTTCATAAATGTAAAAAGAGCAAAGATCCTTAGCCCTCTGACTAGGGAAATCTCGTCACTGGAATTTCCACTTCCTGAACGTAATTTTTTGTCGAACTTCAATTTCCAAAAACGTGGTTCCTTTCTTCCTACCAGTAAGTGGCGTTACAGTGACATATTCAGGGACTGAAGCTGGTCCAATGGAAATTAATTTGTTGCCAATATTATGGACATAGCGTGAGATTAAGAATTCCAACATAGCTGACGTCAAAAAACAAAAACTACACGAAGACTTGCGATACAGTCTCGTTTCCTCGTGTAACGCTGCTTATACAGAAGATCCCCCAATTTCTAATTAACCGTAGCTTCTTCTATCTGATTATATTTCCATCCTATTAAGAAATAATTAAGAGGAATTGGAATTGCATCATCCAACAGGTGAACCAAGTTGCAGAAAGCGCCATGAAGAACAAGCTGTTTAGTGCGACATGTATGGCCAGCATTCTATTTGCCATCCTTCTCATCCAATTTTCGATAACTTTATCGAATTCTGAACCTGTTGTACGCGGCGTGGTGTCAGAGGAGCGGATGGGCAAAGACAACATTCCAGTTGCCAGAGACTTTATCAAACTGAGTAACCAAACCACTACCACGCCAAAATGTCCACCTGACCGTCCAGTATTTATCAGTGGACATTGCAGGGCAGTTTTTTAACTCGCCATTATCCAGTTAATAGGTTTCTACGTTTCAAGATTCCGCGAAATCAATTACATTTGTCTCTGTTTTTGTTTGCCTTTCGTCGCTTCGTCGATGATATGCAGTGAACGTTACTCACTTGCTTATTGATTGTGCATATCTATGTAGTAGTATATTTATATATATATATATTTGTACTATATATATATATCTATATATCTGTACTATATATATATACCTATATGTAGTCCGTAATAAAGGGAGTAAAGGTTGCATTTAACGTGTCATGATTTATCAGCCTATTTAATTTTATTTACCTGTTTAATTTATCGACGTGTTTAAATATACGCGGAAATATTTAGAAGAGCCACGAGAGGATATTCATGGTCGTACAATCGAATGTAATTGTTGAGGTTACTAGATGTGTAAACAGGGAAACGCGTGGGTAAATTGTAAAGTAGAAAATATATTTTAACCCCTTAACCTACAACTACGAGCATAGCCCGTAGTACGATGATCGGGCCAAATATAATATACAGGGTGGTTGGTAACCGGTGGTACAAGCGGAAAGGGGGTGATTCTACGCGAAAAAAGAAGTGGAAAATATAGAATAACAATTTTTCGTTCGAGGCTTTATTTTCGAGAAAATCGACTTTGAATTTTCGGTCGGTACGCGTGCACTTTATCGCGTCTCGTTATAACGGATCTCACTGTAGATCGTTGTCTCGATGGAAAAATTAAAAAAAAAATTTTTATTCCATATTTTCGACTTCCTTTTTCGCGTAGACTCACCCCCTTTCCCCTTGTACCACTAATTACCAACCACCCTGTATAATAGCTTGTTTACGTTTTCCGCTCAAAATTCACGAACGTAAATCGTAGGTTAGGGGGTTAATACAGAAGTGTAGGTACAAGTAGCAATATAATTTTGAGCTGGTCCAGATCCGCACGCTAGTGTGACGTCAATCCACATTAGAGGCCAGACGTGTGCAAGTACTCACCGCGTACCCTCAATAGCCTCAAGGACGCACCATATACTTAAGCTTAGTTTTAATTTAAATTTAAATTTAAATTTTATTATAAAATTTAATATAAAATTTAAATTCAATTTAAATTTAATTTAAATTTTAGTTTATTAACCCTGTAAGTGTTATTGGTATATGGATGGTCCTTGGAACAGTCCTTAGGTTTATTATACGTTCGTACAAATTACGGAGGAAAAGCGCGAATTTACCTAACGGAAAAACTGATTTTCCCCATGAACAGTGTCGCCTACGAGCCACGTTCGTAGGAGGCTTCCTCCTCCTATCTTCGTTTATTAACGTGGGCTATAATCAATTAGCATCGCGGATCGTTAGCCTCACTTTTCCCAACGAAAAGTGTGAACAACGAATCCGCGTTGTTAGCTCAAAGGGCACACCCACACCGAGCTTTCCTCCGTAATAATACGAGAACCACTTCGGCACTGAAACTACAAACTCTCGTCAGTCGACATCTCTCAGATCAGTCGAGTAAACTGTGCTTATAAAGTTATGTTATTTAATAAAGTTCGATAGAAAAGGAATATAAAGTTATGCTACGGCTCAACCTTCATGTCTTTAAAACCTAAGGCTTAATTTTACGCGACAGCTTCAGGGTTTTCAGTTATAGGGTAACACTGTTAGCATGCGGATCGGCACCAGCTCAAATTATATTGCTTCTTGCACTTAAACTTCTGTATTGAAATATATTTTCTACTTTACAATTTATGCACGCGTTCCTCCGTTCATACGTTTAATAAACCTCAACACGTATCATTCATTGTTCCAATAGATCCATTCCTCAGACTTGCAGTACAATAACGAACAGAGTTCTACCTGGAAAATATTAATGACAACATGTGAAACGATGCTTGAGACTAACAGGCGAGAGACGAAAACTGTCCTATTGTAACTGTAGGAATGTCGACTTATATATAGGCGATTCCTGGACACGTTATATCCGATTTACGCGAAGCAGTCGCTGATAAACGATTTTCAAACCACGGACAGCGGTCACGAATTCGAGATTACGCTAATCGCTTCCTTGCAATGTAATTACGCAACTTGCCAGAGTTCGAATTTTGTTGCGAACGCTACATAAAAGAGGTAAATGTTTGGACAGAAGAAGGGTTAAAAAATATTTGCAACTTCGAGCTTGAATCTCCAAGTGCATTTGGGAAAAACAGGCAGCACGTGTTTCGTACCAGCGATTTATACAACACACGATATATTTTGATATGATTTAGATATATTTAACAGATTAATTTAATAATTGGATAATTTAGATATATTTTAATGTATTTAGATACATTAAAATAAATTTTCATACATTGTATTATATTAATTAGATACATTTTAATTACTAAATATATTTAGATATATTTCAATGTATTTAGATACGTTAAAATAAATTTTCATACATTGTATTATATTAATTAGATACATTTTAATTACTAAATATATTTAGATATATTTCAATGTATTTAGATACATTAAAATATATTTTCATACATTATATTATATTATTATTATATTATATAATATAATATATATATATATGTTATATGTATAATATAATATATATATTATATGTTATATAATATAAATAAGTATTGAAATTATATATTAAATATTATCATATATTATATGTATATATCCTATAATATTAATATATTAAAGATATTAAAATACTCTACAAATACCCCAATATGATAGCAATATCGCCATTTTATATGAATGGGACTGTCTGTGCAATGCTTTAAGATTCCATCGGGTGGAAGAAATCGCAGCGAGTTGCGCGAACATATTTGCGAGAAAGCGATTAGTGCAATCTGGAATTCGTGACTGTTGTCCATGGTCAGAAAATTGTTTATCAGCGACTGGTTCGCGTAGCTCGGATACAACGTGTCCGAAAACCGCCTATAAATTGAAATTGGTATAGATAGAAACGAACAGTTGCTCTGAGCCTGCCACTGAAAATTAGTTAATTTCGAGTTAGTAGTCAACATTTCGTCGGTGCTATTTTACAGGTACGATTCTATTCGTTATGACCACTTACAAAACGAATTAGATTATTTTTGAACGAATTGCAATAGTAGTTGATGAGCTTTCCGAAAGAGAAACATCAAACCTAACGTACAAATGCAAAGAATATCGATTGGCTGATATTTTTGTTCATTTTCCAAATATAAAAGGAACAAAGTTCTTCGATCTGTCGACTAGGAAAAATGATTTAACTCGCTCCAATTTACGTGCTCGTTTAACAAAACAGCAATTTTCAAAAATATCATCTTATCCTTCTTGGAAGTGAATGGTATTATGTTTAAGATTGATCTGCCTTTCTTAATTCTTAATTCTATGAATATACGCTATAGCACACTTTCAGACGATTTAATTATCAATTCGAACATAGATGCTTCCAACACAATTTACCTAATTCGCTGTTTTGTCAGATGAGTGATTTTTCCAGACAGTTTCTCAACTCGTAGTTGGAGATAATTTCTCCAATCGCATCGTTTTGCATATTGCTAAGAGACAATAAATTTGAATTGCATTTACATTCAACAGGTGCATCAACTTGCGGAAAGTATCATGAATTGGCTGATAAGTGGAACACGCGCGATTGGTCTTTTCTACATCTTCCTGCTGGTGCAGTCATTTTTGGTTACTTCGTCGAATTCTGAACCTGACGCGATTTCTATGATGTCACGCAAGGCTGGAGTCACTGGTCCAGCTGCTAGAATCCGCTCTCAAAAAGTTATAAAGTCGAGCCTGTGTCGCAAGAAACATTAAGATTCCTCAAATTTATATGACTGACACGCATATCTTTGTTCCTGTTCCTCCTCTTTTTGATCATCGATTTTTGCTTTGAATCTTGAGGAGCACTGACGTTGCAAGATTCAAAGGACGTCGATTGCTAATTGATCGATTATTAGCTCACTGATTTTCTGTATTCAGAATCCTATTCCTTGTCAATCGAATTACAAAGAATGCAATAAACGAGATAACGCAAACACTGAATTCCTTTCGATTTAGTTATAAACTCCACTTACAACATTTTTACAACTACGCAAATTCAGTCTCCTCACTGACTTACAGATGAATGTGCTTGGAATATACGATATATCAAAAGCAACAAATATTTTTACACGATCGAGCTTAGGTTCCAACTATATCGAAATATAAGACACAGAGTATGTGGAACGAGTTACAATTATGCTAAGCCACGCAAACGTATCCATGACAGACCGAAAAGAATTTCAATATTTGAGTATGGAATTTACTTCTTTTTACCATTTTGCTACCAGAAAGTCTGCTTAAGATCATATGACAATTTTTGCAACCAACCGAAATCCGTGGAAGTTTCGTCAATTCCCTTTGTAGGATTAAACAAACTATCATCATAGTTAATCGTCTTTTCTCGCTTCAGAGAAACGTAACGCGAGTAGATCTACGTGGAGCAGATGCGCAATGAAAGCGAAGGTACAGAGTGTTCGGAAGCTTCAGTGAGCGAAAATGAAAAGAATTTTTCAATCACGAAATATACGAAGATTTTCAATTAAACGATCGTCCAGAATGCGAGATGAATTTTCTGCATTTGACAACGCTGTCGATGTAAACACGCACAATATTTGTCCAATATTTTAAGACTTTGCCACTTGGAGGAAACGCGACATATTGCGTGAATATACAGCGGCTCGCATTAACATTAGGATACTCTGTGAAATAGAATCAATTTCTGAATGTAAGATCAAACGATCTGAGTTTCTTTGAGAAGCTACAGTTAGTCGACTGGACGACGTTGAAAGAAGTTTCGAAAAAATCGCGAAAAAAATGGCGAAGGTCGCTTTTCACGTCTATTTTATCTGACTCCGTAATGAAAATTTTAACAGTACGTTCTGTGCATTTATATCTGCTATATACACGCTAAAGATTTAATCGAAATCGTTCGATGCGGAAGCGGGCAATCGTCGAAAGATACAAAAATCTTTCAGACTTGTCACAGGGAAAGGCGGAAAGCGGCGAGAAGCTGCGATTCGCACAATTTTTCACCTTTTGTAGCTCGCAGCAACGTTAATGCGAAAATTATTTTGCATTAAAGAGTGTTCGAATATTAATATGAGCCGCTGCTTGTCGCAAGCAAACGATCAAGGTAATCGCGAATTTACGACTCTGATTCGAATTGAAAAATTGTTTACGAGCGATTGTTCCGCGTAGCTGGGATATAACGCGTTGCAAAACCATCTATAAATAGGAATTCGCCTAGGTTCAATCAAACAGTTGCTTGGAGCCTCAGAGAATCCTCAACTCTCAAGCATCGGTAGGTATACGCTTAAACTTTAATTTCTCGTTACATTACACGCGTTAGAAATGAATCAGATTATCACAGTCTCGATTATTTTCCTGTCCAAAAATTGCATATGAAAGCTTCGCTTCTTTCATAAATGTAAAAAGAGCAAAGATTCTTAGTCCTCTGACTAGGGAAATCTCGTCACTGGAATTTCCACTTCCTGAACGTAATTTTTTGTCGAACTTCAATTTCCAAAAACGTGGTTCCTTTCTTCCTACCAGTAAGTGGCGTTACAGTGACATATTCAGGGACTGAAGCTGGTCCAATGGAAATTAATTTGTTGCCAATATTATGGACATAGCGTGAGATTAAGAATTCCAACATAGCTGACGTCAAAAAACAAAAACTACACGAAGACTTGCGATACAGTCTCGTTTCCTCGTGTAACGCTGCTTATACAGAAGATCCCCCAATTTCTAATTAACCGTAGCTTCTTCTATCTGATTATATTTCCATCCTATTAAGAAATAATTAAGAGGAATTGGAATTGCATCATCCAACAGGTGAACCAAGTTGCAGAAAGCGCCATGAAGAACAAGCTGTTTAGTGCGACATGTATGGCCAGCATTCTATTTGCCATCCTTCTCATCCAATTTTCGATAACTTTATCGAATTCTGAACCTGTTGTACGCGGCGTGGTGTCAGAGGAGCGGATGGGCAAAGACAACATAACAGTACGTTCTGTGCATTTATGTCTGCTATATACACGCTAAAGATTTAATCGAAATCGTTCGGTGCGGAAGCGGGCAATCGTCGAAAGATACAAAAATCTTTTAGACTTGTCACAGGGAAAGGCGGAAAGCGGCGAGAAGCTGCGATTCGCACAATTTTTCACCTTTTGTAGCTCGCAGCAACGTTAATGCCAAAATTATTTTGCATTAAAGAGTGTTCGAATATTAATATGAGCCGCTGCTTGTCGCAAGCAAACGATCAAGGTAATCGCGAATTTACGACTCTGATTCGAATTGAAAAATTGTTTACGAGCGATTGTTCCGCGTAGCTCGGATATAGCGCGTTGGAAAACCATCTATAAATAGGAATTCGCCTAGATTCAATCAAACTGTTGCTTGGAGCCTCAGAGAATCCTCAATCGGTAGGTATACGCTTAAACTTTAGTTTCTCAGCTTTAATTCCATTCCTCGTTACATTGCACGCGTTAGAAATGAATCAGATTATCACAGTCTCGATTATTTTCCTGTCCAAAAATTGCATATGAAAGCTTCGCTTCTTTCATAAATGTAAAAAGAGCAAAGATCCTTAGCCCTCTGACTAGGGAAATCTCGTCACTGGAATTTCCACTTCCTGAACGTAATTTTTTGTCGAACTTCAATTTCCAAAAACGTGGTTCCTTTCTTCCTACCAATAAGTGGCGTTACAGTGACATATTCAGTGACTGAAACTAGTCCAATTGAAATTAATTTGTTGGCAATTTTCTGGACATAGCGTGGCAGGTTCAGTGTCACTGAAATTATCAAGTCAAACGGCAAATATATATAAGAAATTTCAGCTATTGCAAATTCAGAAACTCGAGCCAACTTGCAAGAAGCGCCATGGCAAACTGGTTCAGAGGAATAATTCGTTTAAGCAACGTTCTCTTCGTCATCGTTCTTATCCAACTTTTGGTGGTTTCTTCATATTCCGAAGCTGTCGACGACAATATGCAACAAGGGGAAGCACGGAGTATTATCGTACCGCGCCAGAAATGTCCACCTGGTCAGGTGAAGAGTCCAAGGGGATGCGTACCCTCGTAAGTTCACTGTTCGAATGTTTATAACTTTCTTACTCTTTCCGTGCTCTAATTTTTATTTCGATTAACATTCGCGCATCGTAACTACATTCCTCTCTACCATACTTTTATCGAATTGATTATTTTTCGAATATGCTGAAACGCTTGTTACAGTTGGTAGAAAGACAAGTGTTTTCTAGTTAACTCGCATAACTTTTCTTCCCAACAATTAAACATTCTACCATTAGAATAATAATTCGATTAACCGATGAACGAAACAAATGTTAACGATTAGTAACTCTCAAAATTAAAAGACAAGTTAATTAAAATTGCGCTTAAACTGCTGTTACTGAATTTCTCTATGTTCCAGTGGGCCCAGCGGATAAACTCGAAGCAAGAGGAACTGGATTCGACAAAGCGATGAATGTACTTGCTATATTTTATATGCTATAAGAATTCTGCTTCATGTTTCAATTTGAATAAATGGAATATACAAAACACTCGACGTCTCCTCCGTTCAATTTGCCATTCGCCGTAAATTCCAATCGTTTTCAATCCAAGAATCTGCGCCACCTGCTTATGGCTGGTCGTTGACGCGCAAAACAAGCGAACGCGATTCTTTACGACATCGACGAATGGTATAGTCGTGGCGAATTATTCTGGAAGAGCTGGTACGATGATCAATACGCGATACGAAGGATAATCCCAAACGAGTCGCTGCGATTTTTCATTGCGACTGTAAAAACACGCCGACTTGCTTATTATTTACCAACGCTATCTTTATCACTTGTTTATCGAGTTATACCGTTGGCGAACGTTAGAAAAATAACGAAGCGAATGCGGGAGGCCGGCGCAAGGGGACAGCCAACTGTTTACGAATCTAATCTCATTTCTGATAGAATAAATACGGTTTATAGGTCAGGTGCGTTGTTCATTTCAGCTACCTGGTAACGCATTCGCTTCGTCAATCGGATCATCTTTCGCGTAATCGTAAACCGGTGAAACTTCTTTTGCAATTCCAACTATCCAGACAGACTTCTGCCGGTTTCTTAGAAATTCGTAGTATCGCTAACGCGATAGTAAGTACCGATCGCGTTACTAACGTTAGTGTGACAGAAATAGCGCGGAACAATTAGAGACGACATTATCGTGATCGGAATGTCAGCAATTGAAATCGCCCTGATCGTAAAATACAAACGTTTTCGAGTATTTTCGACGAGTATACTCGTGACGAAGGAATGGCAATGTTTCGCGTTACGACGAGTATACTCGTCATGCGTGAAAAATAGTTACAATTTACCGTTTAAATTGCGATTTAGTATTTTGATTTAATCGCAAAGCAAACCAGTCGTTTCATTGCAATTTAATTGTACGCTATAACAGCTACACGTGCTATGCGTTCGACGAATATACTCGTCGTCGTTTACTTTCTGCCACACATTTTAGGCTCGCACTTTTCGATCGGATCGGATGTCATTTTCCATCGCTTGTATCTTCCTCGTGATTATCATATCGTCAACGTACGGTTCCCTGAGACAAGATAGCAGCAGTACGTGGATAATTTATGCACGACAATTTCTCTAACATTTACACACCATAAGAATTGTATCGTTCAATGGTAGCACGTAAAACACACGTAAGAAGCTTCCTAACTTTGTCGATCTTTAGATCTCACGTTGAGACTGGAAATAAGGATCGAATACATTCTCGAAATACCCAAATTTGACGATTGTTACAACTGTTACATAGTAGCTCCATAGTAGATCATTTGGGAAGTTGCAGAACTATATGGTAAGTCCCCTGCCATATTTTCCAATAGCTTTTTATTTATTTATCCACGTTCTTCTTCGCGTACTTTCCGATTAACGCCACATCGGCACATTTGACGAGTTAAATTTAAAAACATTTAAAAAATGCGTTATCCGTGTTACATAGGCCG